TCTGTTTACATCCATAACATTTAACACTGACCTTCATACCTCTCTCCGTTTCTAACGGTCCGCGAGCCTCGTTATTTCGGATTGATTCTCGAATATGCCTACTTCCGCTTTGTAAATCGGGTAGCAACTCGCTGGGTTTGGCATACCTGGATAAGGGCCCCAGATAATCTCGGAACCTATTACTGTTTAGCCCGTTGACTATCCACTCGATTGCCTCTCGATCGTCCATGCGTGCCCTGTTACACCTCGCCAGCTTTTCGTAGTAGTATTCGACGATTTCTTGATTGGGACGCCGTGCGTAGTTTTGCGCCTCCATCCTCAGCGAGACGGCGGTCTCCCTGCACGGGAAGTTTTCTCTCAGGGGCGCGGTCCACTCCCTCCAGCTTCGCTCTCCTCGCGGTAAGCTGTCGCGCCAAAGCCTAGCCACACCCGTTAGTTTGGAAAGTCCGTAATGTTTGATCGCGACCTCGTCCCATGAGTACAGGTCGCCGTACTCCTCGACCTTGTCTATCCATTGGTCGATATTAACGTCGTTTTTGACTGGATCGTACTCCGGCAGTATCCCGTCGACGTTTTGGAAGTGCCGCATTCCAAATCCGTACGACGGGTCGGCCATACTTCCGGCTTCTCGACCGCCCGGAAGTCCGCCATGTTCGCCACGTGGCTGTGTGTTTTCTCGCGACATTCCCGTCCAGAATTTCCTTTGCCAATTTTCCCGTTTGGAGCAGTATTCGCGTCTCACGCCTGCCCGAACCCTCGGCTATCAAATTCGCGAGAACTCTCTTCCGTCGCCACTACACTAACACTCCCGCACTTAACGGTAATTCGCCACGTGGTCCGCGATTTTGTAAGCCGCCGTATTTCGTGACTTTACCTTGCACGCTCGCAATTTTATCGTCCTTAATTGTTCCGGATATCGATCCCACTTCTGAAATTGTTGCAAAAACTTTTATAAGACAGGGTCTTTAGATTTATTACGGCACACACCTTATTCGGAATTTCGTTACACTCTCTTGGAGTTACACCTGCTCTCGATTATGCTACGCTTATTCTTACCCACGCTGCTAGGCACGCCGCCTGTTTATATACATTCTCTCTCTCTCTCATTCACACTCGTCTCATTCACTCGTCTTCGCATTCGTACAATGTCGCGGGGTTTTCAAACAGTCCACATTAGAAACAGTAGAACTTTTTTTCTCTAAAGTACCAATATTTATTAAAAAATTCAATGTTTTTTGGGAGTTCCCGACAGTTCTCGATTAATAATGGGATAATATAAATTTTCAAGTCGCAAGTCGAACGCAATGGATCATATTTCAAAACATACGAAATCATCGGTCGAAAAAACCAACGCGCGTCTGCTCCCAGGTTAAGCCTCCGCAAGAGAAAAGCGTAGCGGGCCTTATCTTATGAAAACAAATAACGTCGCGCATTTTCGTCGCGGTGCCCAATATTTTTTTAGTCGAAATTCGATACTTGAGTTGTCCACAGGAACTTGTGTTTAGCCACACTGCGTCTTAACTTTTAAAATGAATAACACAGCGTTAGTTTGTTAGTTGAGCTTCAAGCAGGAGGATCAGTTCGTGCCTAGATTTTCAGTACTGCGGACGTCTCATGCGTTTTATTGGAATTTTCGAATTTCAAGTGATTTTTGTGTGTTCTAAGCGACTTCATTATTCACACAAATAATTTTGTGTGTTTCAAAAATGTACGATAAACAGAAACTTTTAGATATATTATTAAATCCAAAGTTTCGTACCATACAGGACAATGGTAAACCGTATCCACCATCTGCCGAAATATATCGTACTATTTCGGAGCGGTTTAATTCGACTATTAGTCCGAAGCACATATATGTAATAATAAACCAAAACAGAAGTGGATTCAGAGATAAAATTTTAAAAGCATTTAATATTCGTGCAGTGGAGCCAGAAATTTCTTACGATTCCTCATACGTATCCGTCAGTACTCCAAATAATTCAATGAGTTATGAGACAAGTACAAAAAGATTTGACTTGATTATTTCCAATGATCAGTGGAAACATATGAAACCCGTAAGAAAATTGTACGGACGAAAGTATAGATCTGTGCTTCAAAGCGGCTGGACGGATGTCATAGCAGAAAAGTTGTGGCAGCAACAGAAATTAAATTGCACAATAAAGTTTAAAAAACATGATATTTCCACATCAGATTCTTCTAAATATTACCTGTCTATAGAAGGTACTTGTAAGGAATGCGATGCAAAAATAAATGGTAAAATTATACACCGACCGTCGAAGAATATTGATATTAAGATACAATTTACTATTAAAAATATGAACGAAGAAAATCATACATATAAGAAAAAACGAGCATTAAGAGGCATACATCGTGAGAACATTGCCAACGAGCTTATAGAAAAAAAATTGAGTGTTGCAACATTTCGTAGAGAGCAGGCAAAATATTTAAAAGATTTTGGCGATGTTGAGCCTTCAATATTGCCACATGCTGCAACACTTAGAAAAGTAAAAGAAGAAGCACTGACGAAAAAATATGGGTTCCTACATTCACATCCAGCACTAAATCTACTAGAAAGCTCAAAACAAGGAAAATTCCACGGAGCAATTCATAATGTTGGATTAGTTCCATTTTATTGTATATATTGGGCCAGTGAGCAGCAACTACTGTATAAAAGTAGACATAGGGAATGTAATGGATACATGACCGTTGATGCTACTGGAGGAATAATAAAAAAAGATTCCAATTGCGGAGCTCCAATATTTTTATATCAATGTGTGTATGCAACGCCTGAAGGTGGCATTCCCGTATTTCAAATGATCTCCGCGGACCATAAATCTATGCACATTGCATATTTTTTACAAAAAATAATTTCAATGGGAAATTTACCTCCACGTATGGTGGTTAGCGATTTTAGTTGGGCGATTTTAATTGCTGTTGCCCAAGTATTTTCTAGATGCATTGATTTAAAACATTACTTAAACACATGTTTTAACATATTAAATGGACCAGATAATATTTTAAGTCCGCATTGTTACATCAGATTAGATGTAAGCCACTTTGTAAAAATGATCTCAAGGTGGAAATGCTTTAAACAAGATAAATCGCCTGTCAAAAAGTTTTACCTGCGTGCATTATGCCAGGCATATAAGATGCGTTCATTAGAAGAATTACAGGTATTCTTTGAAGCTATATTAACTATAGCATTAAGCGAATTCATCGGTTATGATGAAAATGGAGATGTGCTTCCATCTGAATCCCAATTGCGGTACTTAAATAAAATAATAAAAGGAGTACCACCACCTGAAATTTGTGATACTAATGAAATACACGATGAATGTAGTGAAATGCAGCAAACGGAGGAAATGAGCGAACAAGATATCGGTAACTGGACAGAATGGACTAATAAAATATATCACTGTGCCCAAGAAAATGCAAAGATGAGTAATGAAGGTATTACAATAAATGCATGTTTTAATCCAAATGCTGCGGCAATTATAAAAACAAGACTTATGCCGTATGTGGCCATCTGGAGTGGCATTATGCAAACCTTCTTCAACATAAACACAGAAGTTGCTACTTCTACCTATGTTGAAACAGAGTTTGCAGAAATAAAAAATCGTGTATTCAAAGGCCAACTACCAATGAAAGCCGACAAATTTGTTTATGAGCACTTAGAATATATTAATGGCAGACTAAAATTAGCATCTTGTCCAAAAGACATTGAAAGTGCACATGTAGAAAATATAATACATGACATTTCTTCTGCAAGTTCGATACAGACAGATGCAGATAGATCTATAGAATGTTCAATAGAAACTATAGAAACTAGTAAAGAAGAAGATATGTCCAATAGAGAAGTTGTAAACGTTCAAGAACAAGATTACAACACGAGTGAAAACTGGCGAGGCCTCGTTCGTAAATCTCCTAAAGAAATAAGTTTTCCTTCAAAACCTCGACGTAGACCTTCCTATTTGGATAATTGCCCTGAATGGGATTACATGAAATTAACAAAAGATCAGAATATACCTGTTATGCGAAATGGCAATAATTGCGATGCGGTTAAGATTGATGGGAAAATTGTAAAAATTTCCCAAACTTGCGCTTTTGACGCAATAGTGCATTTGATAGCAAATTCCATTACGTGTATGGAAAAATATGAAAAAGCAATGCGAAATAAAGGTAGTAATAATACCATGATTACCCTTATAATGTCGATATTGGGCAGCGGAAAAATTAATGTTAACCATTATATTGAGAGAGCCAAAATATTGATGAGTTTGTCATTGTTCAGTGGAGAAATACATACATTAACGCGTACTACATCAAAATTGGATGTTAATTGCAATGTAGGACATTTATGCAATTATTTACTTACAGACCTACCTAGCTATACAATTACATCAAATTGTTCATGCGGAAAAATACAAAGAAGAAATGTTATAGAATTATGTTTAAATGTAGATATAATTTTTAAAAAAGGGCTGGGATATGTGCAAGAAGCAATTAACGACACGATATTTTCCACGATAACGTGTCGAAAATGTAAAAAAGTGATTTCACCAGAGATTGAATACTGGGAACATCTATTTTTAGACACCTCTGTTATTACTGATAGTAGATATAAAGTAGAAACAAGAATCGTAAATACACTTGATACTATAGCCACGACTATAAATATTGGTACAAAAATGTTCATTTTGGCAGGTATAGTAAATTATATTTCATTTGGTACTGCCCAAACCGGTCATTATGTTACCTTCGCACGTACAAAGGACAAATGGTATGAATATGACGATTTAAAACATAAGAGAATTATTGCAAGTAATAAAACAAAAATAACGCCACATTTAGTACAATATGTAAATGTTTCGTAAGATATTAAAGATTTCTATATGAACCTAATGTATTTTAATTACATTTTGGACAAAATAATCCAAAAACACAGGTAGACAAACACGAAAGAAACAAACAAACAAGAAGCAATGATAAGTGAAAGCTTATCAGGCGTCGAGAGCACCAATTGGTCCAATCAATTGGTTGTTGCAATTGTAAAACAATTGCTTCTCGGCACCGCCAGCTACATACTTCGAATAATAAAATAGTAGCATTCTACTGATTTTGTCAGTAGTGGCAAACATTTCAAAACTAAAAAAATTTAAAGACAAAAGATTCTTTTGCAAACATTTCTGCATGTTTATTATTAAAAACATTTAATTTATAAATATGATAAAGGTAAGATTAAAGTACTCGAATTAAGATCAAATATGCAACCAATAATGCACACTTTTTTATTTTTCGAAAAATATTTGGCACCTCAGCAGCTCAGATGACTATGTAATGTCAACGACAAAAATGTGCTGGCCGACGAAGAGAAATTGTTTAAAAACAGGGTATTTTTTAAGATATCGACTTGAAAATTTATATTGTCCCATTATTAATCAAGAACTGTCGGGAACTCCCAAAAAACATTGAATTTTTTAATAAATATTGGTACTTTAGAGAAAAAAAGTTCTACTATTTCTAATTAGAACTATTTCTAATTTGTATCAGGAACTCTAGAACTCTTAAAAGTGCTATCAGAACTGCAATTATTTTTTATTTATTAATAGAAGGCCGTGCTAATTTCACAGACACATAGATCGGCCCGCTGGCACTAAAAGGGTTAAACTTATCTTCGTGCAGTAAGGTGTGGTGTCTTCTACCACAAATGGAGCAACCCTTTCGAGTGCAATTTTGTACCAAGTGTCCTGTTTCCAGGCAATTATAGCATCTGTGGTGGTTGAAAACTATATCTCTTTTTCCCCGTATATCTAATTTTTTGAATTTGTCACATTTATATAATGCATGACTGCCCTGACATGCTGAGCACTGAGAAAATGTGCTAGCTACGTGCGCGGTGACCTTCTCATATCTTCTACTACCTGAGGGCTGTAACCGTCGCTCGACCCTTTCCGACACTACCTGAGCTGGCGTCGTTGTATTTTCTAAATACTTCGACCGTTCCTCTAAAAAATCCGCGAAATGGTTGAACGTAATATTTTCAGCAGATATTACCCGTTTTTCCCATTCTCGGGCGGAAACTACATCCAGTTTTCTGGATAGTAAAGGAACAATTAGCTTATCCCATTTCTCGACAGGCTCCCCCAGCGATTTTAGTGCCAGTAAATGATTTTTCGCGTCATCCAGAAAATCCCTCAATGCGCTCGCGGAAAATTTTTTAACTGGTGCAATGTCCAGTAAGGCGTGCACGTGGTGCCTTAATAACGCCGTCGAGTCTTGGTATCGTGTCACCAACGCGTCCCAGGCTACCCTATAATTCGCCTCGGATATCCCTAACGCTTCGATGACGCGTGCTGCAGAGCCTTGCAATACCGAATTTAAATAGTGATACTTCTGCAGGCCCGACAGTGATTCATTTTCATGTATTAATGACATGAACGTATCGCGAAATTTGATCCAGTCATTGTATTTCCCGTCAAAATGTGGAATTTGGATTGTCGGCAATTTTACGTGTACTTGATTCGATCCATCCGTCACCGCTGGACTCGCAGAAGGTTGTTGTCGTTGAGACGAACGTGAAGCCAGAATGTGCGACTCGATTTCGGCTATTAACTTGAAATACGTCTCTTCGAATTTTTTCCTGAAGGCTTCATGTGCCCCTTCTAGATCTGTACCCGACACTAACAGCTCTATCCTATTTTGTATTTTATTGAAATTGTCGTACAATCCGACATTCGCATCTAAGCGCTTCTGGAGCGCACCTATCGGTGTAACACCCGCCGATTCCGTGAAAAACCGCTTTAAACGCGTGAGTGAAGCCTTTAGTATACCGCGCTCAGCAATCAACGTTTTTAGTTCGCTATCCATGGCGAGGTTCTAATCACGCAAGTCGAATGTGAAAGTGGAAAGGACTTACTTAGAGGATGACTTCGTAATTCGGCGATGCGATGCAGACCCAATTCCCGCTGATGTTACGCAGGAAACCCTCTAGCGCCGATTCCTCCAACGTTGACTCTGAACAGCAGTCCCGTTGATCACGTTTGTCCTCCCGTTCGGATGCTGCACCAACGTGGCCTGTCCACGCTGTTGGCCAGCTCCTTACTGATGTTGTCCCGATGACACGTCTCGAAACCTGGATGCTGGATCTGTCGCCTTCCCAACGACGATATCAGCGTCCACTGATGGCTCCGTTTCCTTGATTGCTCCAATATTATTGGAGATGTTGTCTGTGATGTTGGTCGGCTGCTGGATGGAGATCCCTGTGACCTGCTCTCAGCTTCCCTTCACCAACCACAGTCACCCACTACCGTTCCTAGGATCTGATTCACGAGATCCGGCTCGAAGGACCAATGTTTCGGCCACGAACAATTCTTCTTGATAGAACAATCGTTGGTCGTGGTCGTGCTTATCGCACAGCCACTCTGTGCTCCTAACCCTTAGTTGAACCCTCAGAAGCTGGTGCTTCTGATACGCAGAATGTCTTCGTGCGGAGACTAACTAGTGATCAAGTTACTTGTCCAAGAGTAATCTGACGAAAAGTCCTGAATTTTCCCATAAGAAAGCCTCGGTTTCCCCTGCCAAGGTGACAACGACGAACATTGCCTACCGGAGGGAGGATTGGTCAAACCAATCCTCATCGTCGTCACCTTGGCAGGGCGGTTCCTAACAATTAGCAACATTCCCGCCCACCCTGCCGTCCAGTGTCCAGGTAGACCATGCAGGAGTGAGCAGGAACGCTGCGTTGTTATTAATTTTTTGGGAAATACTCAACGACCGCGAGACCCCGGTGGTCCGCAGCTGTGCGCCAACGCGGGTTTACGATACGTCAATCGCTATTGAGGCAAGGAAGAGCTCCAACGATTCCAAGTCCCGTGTAGAGTTTGGAGATTCCTTAACGACCATATCCTAGTTTATCAAGAAAAAATGTCTTGAAGGCCTAGTCCTCAAAAATAGCGTAAAGTCACATACGTATCATAAACCCGCTCGCTGTACCGACCCTGAACAGTTCTCCTAAGAAAATATTTACAGCTAGCGAAAAAAAAAACAACACATCATTCGGCTCGTAAATCTATTCTTTCTATTTATTATTCTAGTACTCGTATAAATTCAGATTTTTATAGTTCACTGTGGTTAGGTTTGGTCAAACTCTTGCAAACGCGTTATAGAAAATGGTTAATATCATTACGAAACACAAGAAATAAAAAGTTTCATACTGTATACTAAATGCGAAAAATTTACTCGAAAAATTGCAGCTCCTCTTTCATCCAGAGTCGAGTCTCGCGCAACGATGCGTTTTCGCGCTTTGTCAGCGAGTACGTTATCTGCTGCGTGCCTTTCGCCGAGGTCGTTGCTACGCGAATATGCAATATCGTGTTCGCGACACGCTGCGTCCAACGGATTAAAATATAAAATATAAAATATAAATTAAATCGACGGTCCAGCCTTAGATTTATGCGAGGAGAGAATGTGGAAGACGGGTAAATAAAATTGGAGAAATAATATATGTTTTAAATGAGAATATATTGTTACATTTTTTTTTGAGTAAAAATTAAATATGTTTTAAATGATAAAATATTGATATAATTCGCCCTCCACTGGCGACGGCGGCAGCTGTGGCGAAGGTGATGGCGACGGCGTACGAGGTGGCGATGGCGTACTGGGTGGGCGATGGTGAGGGAGGTGAAGGCGGTGAGTCCTAGAACCCGCAATAACCGATATAACATTAATGAATCCTCCCAAATACTACGATATAAGTTATTAGAGAGACAACGCCACGAATGCGTTCTTGAGCATCTCCATATTTTCTTCGCGAAATATACTTACCGCGTCACGTTGTTGTTCCCGATGTGCGTGCGTGCATATGTGTGTATGTGGGTGCACACGCCTCTCCCACCTCCTACTCCTCAATCTCCTCCAGCTCTGACAGTTTCGAATATGCCTCTAATTTTAATACATTAAGATGTATCGCGATAATTTGTGCCCGACGTTTATTACTGTCGCTTACACTGTCACACCTCTCCATAAAATAACTACATTGTGTAGCGGTACACAAACTCTTACAGTCCCTGCTCAACGTGAGAACCGCGCGTTTGAACATTTCCATTGCACCCGACATGTGTGAACTCTGTTACGCTCCGATTTAAATATATATACGATCCTTCCTACCTAACGTCCCTCATCCTCTGGGGTAGCTGCATGAGATGACATCATTGGCGGCATGAAGAACGTACGAATGAAATATAATACCTTTGAAACGTCGAATCTTAGAATTATGCGAGGAGAGAAGGTGGAAGACGGGTAAATAAAATTGGAGAAATAATATATGTTTTAAATGATACTATATTGTTACATTTTTTTTTTTATGCGAGCATCAACTACAATATCATTGATGGCGCATCCTAACAGTTCACAATCTACAAGATAATCCTTGCAGTAATATTCACTGTCACGTATGATTTTAGCAGCACAACGTGTATCTAATGTTTCGGAGACAGCATCGCTTTTTTGTTGCAGCACGTTAACAAAAGTTTTAAATTTTGTCCTCACTTCTTCTGCAGTTTGATAGAGCCGCGGATACACATAGCTTACACACGGCTCAAGATTAAATAAAAATGTTACTGTATTCGGTTTGAAATACAGCGACTTAGTATCCATTGTCATCTTTACAATCGGTGAATCATACATGTGACAAAATTCCACCGTTAATTCATCAATCCGCATCAATGATGATCCGGGCAATTGTGCACGTTCCTCGATGGTTGTACAGCTGTCGAATAGTGTGTTCCATGTATGCCATGGTATTATGAGATGATTCCCACGATTATCGCCGAGAAGAATTTCTACATCGGCTATAGGTCCTACTCTGATTCCAATTTCCAAATATTTGCTGCCCGAGGATGTTAATGCGTATCTTCTGACCATGACACGCGATGGTTGGCGCGGCCTAAAAGCATAATCATGAAAATTACCTTTTTTTTCATGAAAAAACATAAATAAATAAATAAAAAATTATGAAAGGTTACCTGTTAAATGTATTCTCCTTGCATGGAGATACACCATCATCTTGCACGATTGGAACGTAATAACGCATGGCACTGGTACTACACATTTTCTTTCAGAGCACTATTTGTTCCGTCGAAAATTCAGCGAAGCTACTGAGCGACTGATGGAATAGCGTCCGGGGAGACGGCTTAAATAGAGGTGCAATCCCCACCACATTTTATTCTAAAGCTACCATTTTTTTTTCCATAATGCTTTTGTTCAATCTTAACATCGCAGCATATCGCGCGATTGCATGTAACTTGGGCCTCCAAGGATAAAAGCCTCGACACGTGTTGAATGTAATATAATATCTGTGGAAGCGCTGAATCTTAGAATTATGTGGAATCAGTAGAAACTGTGTTGAACGATCTTGCGCACTAATTCGTCATACGAGTGAATCATGGAAAGAATTATGCGATATCAGCAGAAACTGCATAGAACCATGTTGGCATGCAATGCATTTGAGGGAGGGGGAGAGACACCGAAAGAGTTAGGCAGAGATACCAAATCGCTGTGCTGGTATAAAAGCACGCTTTAAACTGCACAAGGCCTCAAATAGTTACAACGTGTTGCATTGAAAAAAAAGGATATTACATTTACATTTACATTTACATTTACATTTACATTCCATTTACATTCCATTTACAATCATGGAACAATTCGCACAAGTAGAATGCCAATTGTTGGATCAATCCGAACGATTGATTTCGCAGGAAGAGTACCTCGCGTGGGAAGAACGGTGCAACGAGTGTATCGAATCTTTGGAAGAACACAGCCGCGTGAAACGCCCGCGATTATCGATCGGTGTTCGACAATCGTTGGTTGCTCGAATCGCGCGACTCGAAGGATTGAAACATTTGGTGCGCAGACGTTTCGCGCGTGAAGGTGCCGGACATTCGAGTACGGGACTTTTGTGGCGTGAAATACACACTGCGTTCGATACTCGCGTATTAACAGGTGTCATCCTAAATTCGAATTATATCGAACCGCGCAACTTCCTCCAGGATGCAGAGACCATTGTGCTGGAGCATGTTCGGGACACTTTGAGGAAACATCGAAACCTCAAAGTGAACACGGTGTTCAACGGCGAATTTGTGGCAGGTGACAAGCATGCTTGTAAAAGCATCAACACCCGAAACTGTGAACTCTTCCACACATCCGATCTGCAGGAGTGGTACCAGCGATGCGTCGTCGAACCCACCCTGGCATCGCTGGAAGAGTTCCAGGAACGCGACAGCGGATGGGCATTGGCGAGAATCATGAATCTGACCGTCAATGTCAATAAGTATAATCCACTCCGCGCGGGGTGTCACTTCAAGTTGCCGCGAGAAATCATGCTGAAGAGGGCAACAATAAGCATACAATCCTCAGACAACACATGTTTCGCGTGGGCAGTTGTCGCAGCTCTACATCCAGCAAAAAAATATCCTGAACGTCCAGGTTCATACCCGCAATATACATCGATCCTAAATCTCCAGGGCATTGAGTTCCCAATGTCTCTGGGGTATATTGGGAAGTTTGAACGGCTGAACGACATCTCCGTCAATGTCTACAGCTTCGAGGAGAAGATGAAGAAGGGGCCAACAGTCTTCCCGCTGCACCTCACCAGCCAGAAGAGGGATAGACATGTAAACTTGCTTTACACGCCGAATCAAGAGCACGGCGATGTAGGGCACTTTGCATGCATTAAGGACTTGTCCAGGCTGGTGGGCATGCAGCTGAGCAGGCACAAAGCCAAGAAATTCATCTGCGATCGGTATGTATAAAAAAAATTTATGAAATGTTTAAAAAATGTTGAAATATATGTGAAATTAAATAAATTTTTTTTGGGGTTTACAGATGCATGCACTACTTCGGATCTACCGAGAAGTTGGAGGTGCATTCGCTGGACTGCGGGCAGATAAATAACTGCGCCATTCTGCTGCCCAGCGAAGGCGACAATCTGCTCAATTTCAACAACCACGATAGGAAGGAGCGGCTCCCTTTCGTGGTATATGCAGATCTGGAGTGCATCATCGCAAAAACGTTGGACAACCAAACGGGTGATAATAAATTACATACATATCAACACCACAATGTACACAGCATTGCATATTATATGCATTGTTCATATGATACATCACTGTCGATGTATCGATGTCGCCGCGACACAGATTGTGTTTCATGGTTCGTCGACGAACTTAAAAATTTTGCAAACTTTGCCAAACCTATTCTTACCAGTAATGTTCCCATGCTGGATTTAACTCCCGAACAGTTGACGACATTTCGCAATGCAGCACATTGTCATATTTGCGAAGAACCATTCAAGGCTAGCGATGTACGAGTTCGCGATCATTGCCATCTGTCCGGACGGTTCAGAGGCCCAGCACATTCGGAGTGCAATTTAAATTATAAAAATGTGTTTTACATCCCCATAGTTTTCCATAATTTATCCGGCTATGATTCGCATTTCATTATCGAGGAAATAGCTACCGCTTTCGAAGGTCACATTGATGTATTACCTATAACTAAAGAAAAATATATTTCTTTCACAAAACATGTTGAAGATACGGATGAATCAGACTCGCAAAATTATATTAAATTACGATTCATCGATTCATACAAATTTCTAAATACCAGTCTCGACAAATTAGCATCTTTTCTTAGCACAGATCAATTAAAAATTTTGCGATCCCAATTTGGAACATTATCCACTGAAGATTTCAATTTATTGACGCGAAAGGGTGTCTTTCCATATGAATACCTTGATTGCGCGAACAAGCTGCAGGATCCATGCT